CCTCCCAGGCCTCCACTTCCCCCTCCATAGCCCTCTGCACCACTGGCCTCTACTTCCTCCTCTATCCACCCCTGCCACAGGCCTCCACTTTCTCCTCCATAACCGTACCACCACAGACCTGTACTTGCACCTACAAACCCCTCCCCCCAACCACAGCCCTCCCCCTCCCCCTCCCCCATACCTCCCCCTGCCACAGGCCCCTGCTTTGCCCTTTATAAACTATCACCCACCACTGGCATCTACTTCCCCCTCCTTAACCCCCCACCACAGCCCTCTACTTCCCCTCTCCCCCATAACCCTACCACCACAGCCCTCTACTTCCACCTACAAATCCCTCCCAGCAACCACAGGCCTCTATTTCCCCTCTCTATAACCCTCCCACCCTGACTACAGGCCTCTACTTCCCCCTGGTGCTTCCTCCCTACTGAGCCACAGTCCCATACCTCTCTCCCACCACTTTCCCGCATATCAACCCCTACCCCCTGACTCTTATTCCCTCCCCTACAGGGCCACGAAGACCTCCATCCCCAGCCTCTACTTCTCCCCTTACCTTCAACCACCTGTCACCAAGTTTATGCTTCTCCTCTTGTCTCTCTTTTGGGGGCAGGTGGTTCTTCCCCATGGAGGTAATTCAGAATGGCCACAGCAGATAGAGAGGCAGCAGTGTGGAGGGTGAGGGGGGCAGGTGAGAGCGGATACACACAAGAAGTCAACTTTAAAGCCTGCTCCACAGACCCACCTGTCCCACTCCCTCCTGCAGTCTCTTCCAGAGACAGGAGGGGGGCAAGCAGGAGTCACCCATGCTGGCACTTCTTTTCGTAGGCAGCAGCATGGGGAGGGGGACAGGGGAAGCTTGCTACAGAAGCTTTGCAGCAGCAGCCCCTGTCGGTTGGGGGTCCGAGCTCCCCAGGGACAGGAGATGCTCCGTGCTGGTTTTCAAACCCATTGTCCTCGCAGACCAGCTCCCACCTGCCACTGCTGCCTCTGATAGAGAGGCAGCAGTGCAGGGTGGTAGGGGGCTCCCTGGGAGTGGGGCTGAGAGCACACTGGCTGCCAGCCCCCCACCCCAAGGGACTATCAAATAGTCTTATAGCCACTAAAATTTGATGTGGTTACATGACTGTTCAACTACACACTAACTTCCCTAATGGGGATGAGGAAGGCCTGTTTGCAGGTGAGAGAGCATGACAGGAAGTGCAGAAAATAAGGGAAAGGAAATGTGGAAGCCCAAAAAGGAAGTTTCTGGGATGGAGCAGAATGGAACAGGGTCTGGCACAAGACTGCTAAGGAAGGGGCAATGTGCAAATTCTAATGGAGTGTGGCTGGAAAGAAGAGCCCAGCAGAAGTGGAAGCAGATGTGAGTTTTAGGCCATTTCTACATTAGAGAGCATGCAGCTGCACCACTCACATAGCTCCATCAGGAGAGAGCTCTCCCATCAACATACTAAAACCACCTCCACCGGGGCAGTAGCTACCTTTGTGGAAGAACTTCTACAGCAGCGCTTCTGCCTGTCTAACATGTCACTCAGGAGCAGGGGGGTGTTTTCCTGACAAAAGCAGTAGCATAAACTTGGCATAGGGAGAGACGGTTAGGTATCCTCCGAGCAGCCCACATTTTGTGTATTAAAAGCTAAAATGGTCAGGTCCAAACTGGGGGCAGGTGGTGGCTTCCACTTAAAGCTCAAAACTCATGGGCTGTGTCTACCTTGGCACCCTTTTCCGGAAAAGGGATGCTAATGAGACCAGTCGGAATTGCAAATGCTGCGGGGGATTTAAATAGCCCCCGTGGCATTTGCATGAACATGGCTGCTGCTTTTTTCCGGCTCGGGGCTTTGCCGGAGAAAAGCGCCAGTCTAGACGGGATCTTTCAGAAAATAAAGCCTTTTCTGGAAGATCCCTTATTCCTCTTAAAACCTCATTCCACAAGGAGTAAAGGACTACAGGGATGTTGGAATAGCGAGGCCGTTCCCCCCTCCCCCCCCCAAGATAATGGGCTTGCTGTGAAGACGCAGGATTAGCTATTTCGGGATACTCTGGTATCCCGAAATAGCGCTGCAGTGTAGATCTAGCCTTATTGTTTAGGAGGAGTTCTTGAACAGACACACTCTCATATATATGGTAGATTCAGGAAAACAAAACAAATTTTTACAAGACTTATTAGACATTCAGAGTCTTGTTTTTAAAACAAGAGGCATGCTATGACACATGCATTTGTGCATCTAATTTGCCTGAAGAATAACTACAATTGCATGTTCACATCACGTTTGCAGGTTACTGTAACAATTTGCACATGTAGGTATCCAATTTGCATGCCTTCAATTGTTTACAAACCAAATCAATTAATAGCAGCTGCATGTATACTGAAAACAAGAGCAAGCCATCCTATTGCTTCAGTGCATAAGCTGATCACTATCAGGAATCAGAAAAGGATTTTTGCACCCTCCCCTGAAGCATTCATTGCTTAGTCAATGCTCAGGACTGGATACCTGATTAGACAAATTATTAGACTGTTCTGGAACAGTAATTCCAATAGATGAAATCCTGCTGTTCTTACTCAGGACAATCCAATTGTATTTTCCTTTTTTATCCCCTGGTTTAAAGGTATGAGGTGAAAATGCATGAAAATAATAAGTATGAGGTGAAAATGCATGAAAAAGTCACCAGAGAGAGTACAACATTGTGAGGTAGGAATAGCCTCAGGCACAGCTGAGCGCTTTAAAAGATTGCAGTAAGGTCAGTCACCAAAGAGCCACTGAAAATTTCACGAGAAGGAATAGAGACATGAAAAAAAATACCACTATGTTGACACTTTTATTGATTTGAAAAGGTCTGACCTTATCAAAAAAAAGTCATAAAAGCAGCAAAAGAAAGAAACAAGATAAGTTGTGAGCAATTAAGCTTCATATTTACAGTGATTCAAAACCAATAAAGTAAAACCATAATTCAGACAAAATTGACTGGAGTGTGCAAACCACAAGGATTCATTTTTAGATCGCACTATTAGAATTTCTATTATATTAAGTTATTTTCTTGAACACTAAAAGAAATCTGTCCATTTCTGACTGCTGAAGTCACTTGATTTTAATCCTCATACCCCTTTCAGGGAATGTCATTTTAGTGATACTTTTACTTCTTTGTAAATAAAAAAAGAGCGGAATGCTTTCCGCTTGGTCATTTTTAAGCTGGCACAATAGAATTAACACTAATGCTTTGTTTTTGGCTATTAAATTAAAAAAATATCGGGAAGTGAGGGAAAACCAGACTAACTTAAGTCTCATTCTGTTGGATTCTGGATGACGATCAGGAAATAGTCTTTATCTGTAAAGGGGGAAAAAAAAAAGTTATTTCTCCATTGTTAATGCTCGTTCATAGACTAAGAAAGTTTTCTTTTGTTTTTTTTACCTTGCACATTTATCATACATCGATAAGTGACAGAACATGTCACCTACATAAATGTTCATCTTCTCCACTTCTACTTTAAAGTAGCATGAGACATTAACATACTTGACCACGAGTGTTAATTAGTAAGCGAGGTGGACTTGACAGGCATTTCCAATGGCTAAATATGGTCAGTCTTGCTAATTTTTTACTGTGGCACCTCTGTAGAGAATGGAATACACCAGTGAGGGGGCTGCATGAGTAACCCTCCATCTCAGTGGGCCACAAGACTGTCATGACTAAAACATCTCCTGAGACAGGGTAGTTCTACTAACTGCGCTTTTGTACCTAGAATTTGCAGGGTGTGCCAAGTGAACCAGAGCAGCACTTTGATTGGATGCAGAGGGGGTACATCGCTCTCACAACATTGCATGCAATTAGCACACTTTTCACTTCACGTGCACAGTACTTCTGTAATACCAGTAGAAAAAAATCTGTATGGATGAAAACCAGCAGAATCTGGTAACTCTCCAGGGGCAATGGTAAAGAAAATGTCTCATGTGCTACACAACGGACCCAAAAGGGCTGATGCGGCCCTCGGCTACAGGTTGCCCACCACTGGATACTCCAAGCCGATGTAATTTAACTCAGATTCCTACATTCTGAACAATACTCACTCCCACTTTGCACCTTTCATATGAAGATTCTGCAGCACAAGATCCACATAAGCTTAAATCTCTCAGCCATTCCCACTGCATCTGTGCCAGCACAAATAGGCTGTTATACAAAGACGACTTCTTGCCCTGTGCAGTCAAGGTGCTGCTAGATTATTTGTTGTTTAAGTTTTTCTGCCTGAATAGCTACTTATCACAGCTCCTCCACTGGTCTTAACCGAGGTGAAGGGACATATCTGAGCCCTCTACACTTGGGTAAACAGAACCCATATTCCATCAGTTTCCTGTTACACTCTCTGGTGATTTAATGAAACATTTTGGCCTTCTCAACAAGAGACATTTTCTCTTGACATAGTCAATCAATGCTATATCATTGCAACTTCCAGTGTTTCCAGGGCACTGGTTGCTGCTGGTGTTTTAACCATCACATTGTCTACACATGGTCTGAGCAGTGGCGATAAATTAACAGAGTAGTGTAGACACAGCCTCAAACTGAGAGATTTTATGACCTGCAGGTACTGTAATATGCATGCGACTCCAATCCTGAGAATCGGCCAGCCTCCCACTCTGGTTCATGTCAGTCGTTAACTCCAACACCGCTGATCTGAAGCAGAGCACAAAACGTGTTCTGCTAATTTCAGACGCTTCTGCTCTTATCTTGAAAAAGGCAAAACACAAGAGGATGTTCCCTCAAATTTACAGTTTTACTGACAGTGAGATGGGAAAACTAATTCTATCATGAAGGGGGAAGAATTGTTTTAACAGAATGAGACCCAGCTCTGAACTGAGTATAGTACCAGAAATTCATTGGATAGAGCTAAAGCATACTAAATTAGACAGTCACTAGTAGGATTCACTTCAGGCTGTACAGATATGGTGCTATAAACAGCTGGACAGGGAAGGATGAGACATGTCATGAGAAAGGAATTCCAACAGGAAGCTTTGAAGTCCAACACCGAGAGGCTTTTACCTGGAGCAATCATGATCTCATTTTTCTTGGAGCGGATCCGCAGGAACGTCAGGTCATTCTGGGGATCAATGTCTCGCACAGTGCTCCTGGCCTTCATGATGAAGCTGTGCATTAGGCCTGCATATTGCACTGTTGTAGAATTGTCCACTGTGCTTTTGATAGGAATACCTGCAGAGAGACAGTAATTGTAGCAAGACTGTTAATTATGGTAATCTCTGAGACTAACTTAATTCCTGGCTACCCATTAGATACCTTTAAACCTAAATAGATTTTAGGCTTAAAATTTAGCCTATTTAAAAAATAACTTTTTAAAACAAAGTTTGACCAGAAATGCTCAGTGAGCCGTGCCGAAATGGGGGCTGAGATATAGACACTGTCCTGCAGAGTAGGAAACCCTTACAGCACTACAGTCATGGAACCACTCCCAAACGTGCAAAAAAAAAGACGCTACAGGAAAAGCCCGCAAGGAGCATGGATGCTGGTGGAACGGAGTTCCTCATCACCATTGGGATCAGAGCCCTCATAGGTTTGTGTACCACAGAGTTTAAATATTTTTTCTCCAGGGGGGCAGGTGTGCTTTACAGCCAGGCTCCATACAAGCTGGTCCGTTGGAGGCTGCTAATGGGTAGGAGCTTTCCTTAGGGATGGGGGACAATTAGAAGTTGCTTTCCTCCGTCCCAGCCTCCACCAGAGGTCTTTCCAGTATCACCACCCTGTCAGAAGCCGAGGAGCCAAACTCAGCCCACATTTATCATATGCTGCAGTATAGGACTGATGCAGCAGCAAAACTACTGTTTGAGCTATCTGTTTTTATAGCACACCAAAGACGTACATGCCACAAGCACAGCCCAAATATTTGATCTTCCTCCTACTGCTCAGACACCACCACCACTAAGGAAGGGCAAACCAAGTGCTGATTTGTAAATTAGGTCAATGATCCTATCTTCCAGTTGGCCTATATGCATTTACTGAATGTCTCTCTCCTACGACAACTATCAGTTAAATTAAAATTAAGTACAGGCAGTCCCCAGGTTACGTACAAGATAGGGACTGTAGGTTTGTTCTTAAGTTGAATTTGTATGTAAGTCGGATCTGGTACATATTGTAGGGGAAACTCTAGGCAAACATTTCTCCAGAGCTTAGTTTTATTCTCCCACACCTCACTTCCATCAGTCCTTTATTCTCAAGCTGAGGTGTCTGCTGAGAAAAGCCGCTCCGCGTCTCACTGGTCTGCTGGGGGGGGGGGGCGCTAGCTTCGCGGCTCCCTGGTCTGCTGGGGGGAAACAGCTAGTGCAGGGTTGCCTCACCCCGTTTGTAAGTAGGGATCCGATGTAAGTCGGATCCATGTAACCCGGGGACTGCCTGTATTTAATATACAGTACAATCAGAAACCCCTTTTTATTATATTGGCAAAATGAGCTTGCCTTGTTCTACATTCTACACACTTTGATATTCTTCTTGGCTGCGAAGTTATTCTTAAAAAGCCTGGGGGCAAATTCTGCTTTCAGATATATTCTCTCAATGCTATGAACTTCAATAAGGCTTGCAGAGAGGTATCTTGACATAACCTGCCTCTCTACAAAAGGAAAATATATCTAGAGACACATTTAATATCTTTAAAGATCAATGAATTTGCTATTTACAAAGTGCCCCAATCTAAAAAAGTAACATCCTTAGGTAATACAGCCTTAGTGACACAACACCTTCCGAATTAACAACAATGATTCCTTGGACTCCCTTTTGGCTCTGAATTCGCTTCAACGTTTCTTCCACTTCAGCCTGAAAAATAAAGAAACAAGGTTATGCAACATGATGCCTTGAAGGTGCAATCTGTCTTCAAATAATGCTTTGTAATAATATATTTGGAATTAACACTGAGCCGAGATGATTCCTGTAGACATTACTCATTTTCTCAGCGTAAACCAGAGCTATTTTTGGCTCTAGCACATCACCAAGATCCTTTTAGTTGATTTCAAGCCCATTGTTTTCTCTTACTCATTTGTCATAACCACCCTTTGGAAGCCTGAAACCTGTTTCCTAATACTTCTTTCACCCTCTCTCCTCATTCATCACTGCAATACTGGTTTCTCATTATAAGTTTGCTCACGGGCACAAGGCCACACACAACAGTTTTGTTATTGTAGGGTTTCTCATTAGGGCTCCTATAACTTTTATTATTTTTATTAATCATGATATTATTTTACAGTTATAGAAAGGACAACACTGCAGCACGTTTTGAAAAATATACATGGAATTTATAATCAATCATTAGAAAATATCGAGTTTTGGGTTTTAGACTCTCCCTCTTCATTTATCAAAAATATGCTAAAGGCAATAAGTGTAAAGCAAACAAGGGGAAAAACCTGGTCTACAACCATTAGCCTATAACAACTCATCGTAAATGGGCAATTGGTATCTATTGTCAACAATTTACTACTTTAAAAAGACAATCTGCAAAAGTATTATTATTAATTTATCATCTTTGTAAAATTAATGTCAACTCAAAGATTTTAAAAATTTTCTTAGGAATGTTCACTCTTACATCAATCACAACTGACTTGGAATCTTGCTAATGGTGCCTTATGATCTCAGTGGCCCTAAGCATGATTCTGCATGGTATCAAGTGCTCCTTGGCAGATGCTGGGCACTTGGAACTCCCATTAAAGAGAATGGGGAGCTGAAGCACTCAGCATCTTAACTGACTGGTCTCCACAATGCAACATTAGGCAAAACAGATTTCTACAAACAAAATAACGTGCTTGTCCTCACGGGAACAAGAAAACGATTGCACAGAATAGGCAACCATGTCTAACACAATGCTAACTGCTGGCAACTATAAGAATCAGGCAACAGTAGATTTGTTTTGTATCTGCAAACTTCAGTTTGCCTGTCTTATCTCACACAGAAAGGGAGGAAAGGATTTTTTTAAATGTCATGAGCCATCCATGCTTTATGAAAATTGGCATTATGCATGTTCATATCCATAAGTCAAAGATGCTTTACACAAGGTATTTTGTTTAACAAATTTTAAAGTTACAAACTGGTGAATGTTTAAAGCCTATTTTGGTGCATGAATCTTGCTTGTATACGAAGCGTGGATCTGTTTATAATTCTAAGTATGCTAATTAGGGTAATTACTGATGCTCTGGAAGCTTCTTGGTTTGGTGATCAAGTCAACAACTATGAATGGTTTATTCTTCCTAAAATTCCTAACTGTGGTTAGTCCTAGAAAGACACGTGGCAAGGCCACCTGATGCTGAAACCCATTTTGGATCTTGTACTTTTCCACTGGAGGAAATCGCCAAACCCTGTGTGCTTATAGTAATGAAGCTAGTATTGACATTTTACTTCTAGTTATTAGTCAACCAATCTATGCAACTATATCCTCAGTGTTACATCATGAGCAATTGAACAGCAAGTAAAGGCTAGGGACACTCACACACAATTTATATACCTATCATCTCCACAAGCAGTTCATGGACTACATTTTGAAAGGAAATTTAGATCAGTTCTAAACACTAAAATACCAAAAGCATTTATAAGGCTATACTGTTCTTCACAATTAAGGCTCCTTAACACCACTCTGGAAAAGCAAACGAGCCTTCAAGTTCTTACACCTGTTTTATACTTCTGGGGGAATTCATTAAGAACAATGAGAACAATCCACTAAGCAGGCAGGTTGCTACTAGAGATGTAATTGTGTAGACAATTAACTGATGAATTAATAAGCAAAATCTTCTTGGTTAAAGTTATAAACTACACACAATGCCCCCACCCCCTGACAGTAAATTTTTTAGCAGGCTGGCCAGCAGCCTGGCTCAGTCCTGACTTGTGCTGGGTCCCGGGACCTACCCCTGCTGAGACTCTGCATTTAAAGTGTATCAGGAACCAAGTATATCAGTGTATCAGGAGCAGGCAAATATAACTTAGATCGGGCCACGATAAGGTGGGTGCATAATTGGCTGGATAACCGTAGTCAGAGAGTTGTTGTTAATGGTGCTAAATCCTGCTGGAAAGGGATAACAAGTGGAGTTCCGCAAGGGTCTGTTTTGGGACCCGTACTGTTCAATATCTTCATCAATGATGTAGATATTGGGATAGAGAGTACGCTTATTAAGTTTGCAGATGATACCAAACTGGGTGGGGTTGCAACTTCTTTGGAGGATAGGGACATAATTCAAAATGACCTTAGCAAGTTAGAGAAATGGTCAGAGGTAAACAGGATGAGGTTTAATAAAGAGAAATGCAAAGTGCTCCACTTAGGAAGGAACAATCAGTTCCATACATACAAGATGGGAAGTGACTGTCTAGGAAGGAGCATGGCGGAAAGGGATCTAGGGGTCATAGTGGACCACAAGTTGAATATGAGTCAACAGTGTGATGCTGTTGCAAAAAAAGCAAATATGATTCTAGGTTGTATCAACAGGTGTGTTGTAAGCAAAACTCGTGAAGTCATTCTGCCGCTCTACTCTGCACTAGTTAGGCCTCAGCTGGAGTACTGTGTCCAGTTCTGGGCGCCACATTTCAAGAAAGATGTGGAGAAATTGGAAAGGGTGCAGAGAAGAGCGACAAGAATGATTAAAGGTCTAGAGAACATGACCTATGAAGCCAGGCTTCATGAACTGGGCTTGTTTAGTTTGGAAAAAAGAAGATTAAGGGGGGACATGATAGTGGTTTTCAAATATCTAAAAGGGTGTCACAAGGAGGAAGGAGAAAATTTGTTCCTCTTGGTTTCTGAGGACAGGACAAGGAGTAATGGGCTTAAAGTGCAGCAAGGGAGGTTTAGATTGGACATTAGGAAAAAATTGCTAACTGTCAGGGTGGTCAAATATTGGAATAAATTGCCAAGGGAGGTGGTGGAATCTCCCTCTCTGGAGATAGTTAAGAACAGGTTAGATAGACATCTGTCAGGGATGGTGTAGGTGGAGCTTGGTCCTGCCTTGAGGGCGGGGGGCAGGGAGCTCATCGCCCTCCCCCACCCGGGGCCGCAGGCAGACAGTCCGTGAGGGGAGCTGGTTTTAAACCGGTCTCTCCTCACAGACCAGCTGGCACCCCATGGTGCTGCATCTGATACAGAGGTAACAGTGTGGAGTGGCAGGGGGTCCTTGGGAGTGGGGCCAAAGCACACTGGCTGCCCACCTCAGCTGCAGGGACTATAGAGTAGTTGGCTAACCTATAAGAATTCATGAGGTTAATCGACTATTCAATTAACTGACATTTAACATCCCTAGCCTGGACCTCATTGCTGCATGGGGAAAGGAATTTGTTCAGGAAGAGCTACAAAATAGGAAAAGAGGCAGATATCTATGCAAAGAACACACATGGGATGGTGGGAAAAGAATATGCCAGGCACACCCAGCAATGCCATGTTAAAATAAAGGAACGCAGGAAGGCATACCAGAATACAAAAGAGGCAAACAGACGGTCTAGGTCAGCGCTGCAATCATGCCGCATCTATGAGAGGCTGCATGGAATTTTTAGAAGGGACCGTGCCAGTTTCCCTAGCCAATCTTTGGAGTCCTCCCAAGAGACTTCTCAGGCACGAGTGTGGAGCACAGTGAGGAAGGAGGAGAATAATGGTCAGCAGGTGAATGGAACATCAAATCTCACAGACAGCCAGGACCTTTTTATAGCTTTGGAGACAAACCCCTCCCTCTCTAGGGATTTCTCGCTGATGGTTTCTGAAGGTGGGGAAGGCACATCTGGTGAGTTCCTGTTTTTACTCATGCTGCAAGTGGATTAAGGCAATTGTGTGTGAAATGTAGTAGCCACTCTCGGCCCCGCCCCCCCGTGCTCAGCCCCAGCTGGGCCCCGTCTCCCTCCCCTCCCCCCTCCTCCACTCTTGGGTCTGGGCTGCCAGCAGCCGCTCATCTGACGAGCGAGCTGAGCCCACAAACACTCCTGCCACCATCTGATGTTTTGTTCGCCTTTGAGGTGCTACCAGGCCATTGGCTGTTTTCTTAAGATTCTCCGCAGAGGTTCCCAGCGCCAGACGTGTATTGGATTTAGTGAACCCCTCACTGGTGTATCGCCATTTCCCTTTTCAAGAAATGCCAAGCTACTGAAGAGCTGCCTTATCTCTTCCATGCTGTGGCTTTCCCCTAGGAGGAAAGCAGCAGCAACTGGAGGAACAGACTAGGAACCAGCAGAACTAGTGGGAAGAGGAGTGGTGTTGGAAACTGACCCATAGGAAACAGGCGGCACATTCCTAGGAGATTTGTTGGCAAAAACTGCAGCTGGAGGACCTGGAGTCAGCACAGACCTGAAGAAAGAGGCCAGGCCAGGGATTTGCATTAGAGAGGTGTATGGCCGGGCCAGAGAACCCAGGCTGATCTAAAGGTTCCAGCTTTCTGGGACTGTTACTTTAATTGACACAGTTTTGCCTGGGGACTGAAGGAACCATTTGAGTTAATGGTTGTCTGCCACAGACCTCTCTAATGCAAATCTCATGATTTGATCAGCCCAGAAAAGCAGTGCTAAATCAAAGCAAAGAATGCAGATATATAGCTAATTGAAATTAGACTATAATTTAACTAAACCAAAAACTGGTCTGGTAGCCCTTTATAGATGGTATCATGAGCTTTCATGGGCACAGCCCACTTCAGATGACCAGAGTTGTGAGTTTAAAATTATTTCGCTTACACTAGAGATGGCAGCTAATGCACCTCAATCCTGGACTACAACACTCCTTTCCTTATAGAATCATAGAATGGGAAGGGACCTCCAGAAGAAATCAGGTCCAATCTCCTGCCCTCATGGCAGGATAGAGCACCATCTAGACTAGGGCTACTCAACTTTGG